CGTCGAAGTAGATCGCAGTCCGAAGAACGTGACTAGACACGCGCGTGCTAGTTCTCGAAGAGCTCAGTAGTCTTGCTCTTGCGTCGCTCGCACCCTTAATAGAGGCATCTGCTATAGGTACATAATTATGTTAACAGTATGACCACGTACAACGTCAATGCGTTAATCATAGCTAAATAAATATGTATAAAGCTACATATTTAATATTTATATATAAAAAAAATTCATATATAACTAGCGTACGCCGAATAGTGTAGTGAGAGGCTTCGTTTAACTTTGTGGCACTTCGAGAAGTCCTTTGATTCGGGCGCAAAAAACCGACAACAATCGGAAGGCTTAGCGAGGTTGCACGAAGCGAATTAAAGTACCTCTCTCCACTATTCTCCTCGCCCAACTTCAATCAATTTAGCGAGCAATGTAGAGGGGTTATAATAAGAAGTGCTTGGACTAAAACGTAGTGACCTTAGAGTACTTACTTATAAGCGAACTATAGATCGCGCAGCGTGTGAAAGCAAGTCAGAACTGCAAACACGCGTTAGAACAGTCTTGAAATTGATAGAACGATGTTATTACTTATTAGGCACGAAAGGCCACGCGCTTTAATTATTCTTTCCACAATATTTAATAGAATTTTTAGTGATCATGGTGAAGTGTGCTGTGCCAAGCTGTAAAAACGAATCACGGAAGCAAAATAATTAGAACGTTGATATTGGTTTTCATCAGTATGGAATATTTCGAAAAGAAATATTGAGTTACACAAGACTAGAGGAGCAAACCACATTACCGCGCGTCGAAAAAGGTGAAACCACTATCTAACCGCGAGGACGTAGCTTTGAAAGTACTAAGCCTTTTTAAGTGAACATATATCTGTCTCACTTACACAAGTCGCGAAAACAATACCGTCGCTAATATTTAGATAAAGATAGACACACAAACATGCAGTGACGGGTTGGTATTGCCTACTATATGAAATTTTACCCAAAATAAGCAATAAAAAGGTGATTTTTAAGCTGCAGTTATTTGTTTTTATTTTAAATATGTATCTTTGCTTATCCGATGAAAAGAAGTATAACTAATGAAATGAAAGATATTTTATTTCGATGTATCTTTTATTGTACTAATAAATCAAACAAAAAAATCAATTTTAGGTTCCTTAACCAAAAAGATCTGAGTTTGAATTATGCATCAATTGTGAATGCATCGGCAAGTCTTTGTCTCCTAAATTTGTTCTCATGACATTAGCTACAAAAACTGTGGTTATTAATAAATTTTTAAGATAATACTAAATGGTGTTAATCTGTAGTACTAATCCGCTTAAATAAACACGGTCGCCATCGCTTTTTGGTCCCAGTTTGTCTTGATCCCGGAAACTGAATACGATATATGGTATGAAATATATCGTTCTTGTTATCAATATCTGATGATTCGATAATATTAGATGGATTCGATATATCGAGTGTATATTCAAATCGTCATAGTTATGCGCAAAGAGTTATAATATATGCGTAAGCATCATATTAGTCTGTGTCATTCCAGTGTATATATACAGTAACCTATGGACCACTCAACCAAAGGGTCACAGATGCAATGGGCTAAATGGCCTATCATTACATCATCATTACAGCCTTTCACAAATGGTCTAAGTTACAGCTAATAAATAGACCGGTTTACTGGCATTCGGTACCAGTAGACCGGTACGCGTCACTCCAAAGAGTAAAGCATCTCACTACCCGCTACCAGGGCTGCCAAATGTACGATTTAAATCGTATTCATACGATTTTTTAAGAGTTATATGCCCAATTCATACGACTTTTCACATTTGCCAATGCTTTATCAGAATCATACAGAAACAAAATAAATACTTTGTTCCGTCTAATGAAAATTGTGCCTTGAATGGTAAGTAAAGAAATAATACCAAAATGTGGACGATGATTGGAGAAGATTACCCATGCTCTTTATTAAGTTGATATGTCTCTCCCGCCAGATGAATGTTGGGCTGAAATATGTACGTTAGATGATTTTCAGAATATAACAAAATTTGCTCTTGATTTGCTATGCCTTCCTCACTCTAGTGCGAATTGTGAATGGTGCTTCAGTTCAGTAAATAGACTACTATTGAGACTGTGAACGGCACGCTATTAGCCAAACAACATATAAAACGCATTGGTTGTTATGTTGATTTTTCTCCATCAAGAGAAATGTTAAATAATATGAACAGTGAGATTTTATATGAAGATAAAGACTAATAAAATGACTAATAAATAATTACAGGTCGGCGGATTGGGACGGAATGCGGTCTTTCTTTGCATCCTACCCATAGGGGCGGGTTTGCTTCTCGCCGGATGATCCCAGCGCTGTTGCTGACTCTGTCACTGATGTGGTGCTACACGGAATGGAACTATTTATTCCATCATCTGTGGTACCCATCGGAGGCCGATCTCAGCCTTGATTTGGTCGCTCCTGTAAGACTGCATTACGCAGTAAGCAGGAGTGTTATCAAGCCTGGGCTGTGGCTTCGGCGACTCGGGATGTAAACACCAGCACACTTAAAAAGAAGTATAACTTCGCCTCCAGGTCCTTCAAAAGACTTATTGCCAAGGCAAACTCAGAGCACATAGGCAGAATTGGCGAGAAATTAGTTCGCCTTCCTTTGGGAACCCGTGCATTCTGGTCTCTCGTCAAGGCTGTCCAAGGGAATTTCTGTAAGCCATCACTACCATCTCTGCACAGGGAGGACGACTCACTGGCCCACGACGCAAAAGAGAAGGTCGACCTTTTAGGCTCCCTTTTTGCGTCCAACTCGACTGTTGATGATGGGGTGAACACACCGGCGACCATCCCGCGGTGTGAGTGCTCCATGCCGGATGTGCGGTTCTCACAGCGATTGGTTCCCAGAGTACTCCTCTCCCTTGACATCCACAAGTCGAGTGGGCCTGACGGAATCCCCCCAATTGTGCTGATGACGTGTGCTCCGGAGTTGGCACCGGTTCTAACGCGTCTTTTCCGGTACTCCTACTCCCTAGGCGTAGTCCCGAAATCATGGAAGACAGCTTTTGTCCACCCTATCTCTAAAAAAGGCGACCGCTCAGACCCGTCCAACTACAGGCCTATCGCCATCACCCCCTTGTTCTCCAAAATAATGGAATCCGTTATAAACTGCCACCTCATGCGGTACCTTGAGGATCACCAGCTGATTAGTGACCACCAGTACGGTTTTCGTCGGGGTCGATCAGCTGGTGATCTTCTGGTCTACTTAACTCATAGATGGGCGGAGGCAGTAGAGTCCAAGGGGGAGGCATTGGCCGTTAGTTTGGATATTGCGAAGGCCTTCGATCGGGTTTGGCACAAAGCGCTTCTTTCGAAGCTCCCTTCCTATGGTCTTCCCGAGAAATTATGCAATTGGATCACCAGCTTTCTTGCAGATCGGAGCATCAAGGTCGTTGTAGACGGTGCATGCTCCGACTACAAGCCTATTAACGCTGGTGTTCCACAAGGCTGCGTGCTATCACCAACGCTGTTTCTTCTGCATATCAATGATATGTTGCAAGCCGGTAGCATTCATTGCTATGCGGATGACAGCACTGGTGATGCTCTATACACCGGCCGTGCCAATATTTCTCGGGAAAACGTCACCGAGTACCGAAACAAACTTGTGTCTGAAGTCGAGTCTTTGCTGGACAAAGTCTCGGATTGGGGGCGACTAAATCTAGTCCAGTTTAATCCTCAGAAGACACAAGTTTGTGCGTTTACCGCTAAAAAGAACCTCTTTGTCGTATCTCCTCAGTTTCAAGGTACTCCCCTTGTTGCCTCAGCCAGTATTGGAATCCTCGGCGTCGACATATCGAGTAACGTGCAGTTTCGTGGTCACTTGGAAGAGAAGGCCAAATTGGCCTATAAAAAGCTTGGCGTGCTCAGTAGAGCGGGACAGTATTTCATGCCGGCTCAACGCCTGCAACTTTACAAGGCGCAGGTTCGGCCTCACATGGAATACTGTTCTCATCTCTGGGCTGGGGCTCCCCAGTGCCAGCTCCTTCCACTTGACCGCATCCAACGCAGAGCGGCTCGAATTGTCGACGACTGAATCCTTTCCGATCGGCTCGACACATTGGCACTGCGAAGAGATGTTGCATCTCTTAGCATTTTCTTTCGCATTTACCATGGGGAGTGCTCTGAGGAATTGTTCGGTTTAATCCCAGCCGCCAAATTTCACGAACGCACATCGCGGCAGAACTCCCGATACCATCCACACCATCTGGATGATTGGCGGTCCACCACTGTGCGATTTAGAAGATGTTTTCTTCCTCGCACAACTTCCTTGTGGAATAGTTTACCACCAGCGATTTTTCCGGACCGATACGACTTAGGGACCTTCAAGTAAAGAGCCTACTCCTTTTTAAAAGGCCGGCAACGCATCTGCAATTCCCCTGGTGTTGCGGTTGTTCATGGGCGGCGGTAGTCACTTACCATCAGGTGAGCCGCATGCTCGTTTGCCCCCTCTCCTATAAAAAAATAATAATAATTTAGTGTTTGTAATTCTCAATTTTTGTATAATTTAATTAAACAAAGTTATAAAAACGTACTATTTTTATTTATTGACCTTTTTATGGAATACGACTTTTTGTTTACCTACCCATCGTACGATCGTTCATTCAAAATGTCTGACAAGTGGCAACACTGCCCGCCACTTATTCACAGATAATTGGCCTAAAGGTCTAGATGCCAGGCCATAAACTCCAAAAAAAAAATATTCACAGATAACGCGTAGTGTTTCTATCAGTAGTTTGTGTCACAGATTAATAATAATAAGTAATATTTTCTGATTCTGATTTGATTTCTGTTCTGTTCTGTTTCTATTTATTTTGACTGCAAAAAAGAAAATATTTCAAACTTAGAATTAAAATAGAACGTCGTTACTCTAATTTTTGTTTCAGTAATGCCAGAGCTTATCACTTTATAACATATTTGCTTGTTTGGAAAATTAAAACGAATAACAAACAATAATGGTTCTCTTAGGCGATATCTTTCCAAATTTCTCTGCTAATACTACTGAAGGTGAAATAGATTTTCACGATTGGCTTGGTGAATCGTAAGTACCTATATTAAGTTGACAGGTTGATAAATGTACTGAAAGAAAAATGATCTTTGGTCAGTATCGAAGAACCGAATACCTTTGGAGGAAAAAGATTCTTTAGTGGTAGTCTCGTTTTGGTAAACGAAGTGTAGGGCTTCTGGTAGATGGAGTAAAACCTGGTAATGGTTCAGGATCATGCTTTTAGGCGTTCCTTGGTGAGATCTATGTTCTGCAGTGGACTTGTAATGGGCTGTAATGATGATGATGATAACATTAGATCCTTATTGCATATTCAATCTGCCAAGTTGTGAAAGCTGCAGGAGATGAGCAGCAGCAACTTCCTTAAAACAGCTCAATAATAATAAACTATGGGAGCCAACCTGCCTGCTAAGCATTACAACCATTGAGTTATATGTACTATGTACTAGAGAAACTATTCCAAACAAAAATTGTGCGCTACTCTAGGTCAACTAGATGATTACAACTATGACAAATATTTACCACATTAAAGACTATAGACTATTACCCCATAGATTGCCTCATAGGGGTTGATTTGAACAAAAGCATCCCAGACTGTGTGGACATTTGATAGGAATGAATGAATATTAGATCCGTACATGTTTTTTACAATCATCATTTAATATGGAAATATTCTAATTTTAAATAAAGTAATCATTTCAATTTATCATAATAAAAAAATTTAAAAAATGCAATGAGTGGCATTTTGATATATCATTATTCACATGCCGTATTCTAAAAATTGCTGATAAGTTTGAAAATCAACGAAGTGTCATCAGCACAAAATTATATCATGGTTACTCCCTACCTAGTATGTCATTAATATAAACTAACAACAGAAGAAGGAGCCAAAATTGAACACTGCGGAACACCCGTAGATCTAGCAACAGCGACAGTAGGAATTCATCCTTACGGCCCATCATATGTCCATTACTAAACATAGGCCTCCCTCAAGGAATGCCACAAAGCATGAAGCATGGTCAAAGGAATTCATAGGAGTGGACAAAGATTACAATGAAAGATCATATGTTACTTTTAAAGAATATGTTGAAAATATATTCTAAAATATTTAAAGTACTCTACAGCCCAGTTTTTACATTAAAGAAAAAAATTAGGACTGCCTCTAAAAAAATAAAAATTACTTAGTCAATAGCAAAACTGGCGAAACTTATAATTGAATTTCAACAATAATTTAACAAAATCAGATCACAAAGTTGATGTTGATCAGCTAGGCTATTCACAATGCCTCGGAAAGGTTTTTCTCAAAAGTGGGAAGGTTCTGTTAGTCAAGTATTCAATCCCAATGTCACAGACTTTGGTATTCATATCTCTTTAGGACTTGACATGGAAAGTTTATCGAATGTCAGTGGGAGTGCATTAAGTGCAAATAATTGAAATAATCATATAGAATTAATTAATTATTTAATTTTATTTATTTCCCACTATACAATTATCATTACAGGTTTATCACCTAATGTCATAATGTAGACAACTATTTTTACAAACTACAATTACAATTACACAGCTATAATCTAGTAATTATTGATCATTTCTATTACAAACACCATATCTATGTCAGTAGTATCATAACTTATTTCAAAGAGAGCTCTGACTATGAACCCACCCAGAGTACAACAAAATAGATCTATGTATTTTGCTATACAGTTGAGGATATAGAGTGCGTGTGTAAACGGCCCCTCATTCACAAGCTTGGTGCGGCCGCACGGTACAGCCAGTAGCCACAGCCGCCGCCGCCGCCCCTCTTATCTGTCAGGAACACACATGCGCACTTGTTGCAATAAATCTGGATTGCGAATCTTTCCCCTTATTACCTTAAAAATATATGAGACTAGTGCTAAATTCCTTCAAACTTTTAGCTCATTGTATTCTGCCATACCTAAGGTGAATAAGGTAGAATACTTATTTGGGTAAAATGGGTATACTCCATACATTTTTTATTTATATACAAAATGTATGGAGTACCTAATAAATATATTCTGCACTCTCTCCAACATGATACTATATTTAGTTTCATGTGGGGACCAGATGACTGCGTTGAACTCTAATTGGCTCTAATTGGCAAGGTAGTAATTGCCTTGATATTTTTTTTTATATAGGATAAGGGGGTCCACCTGATGGCAAGTGGTTGCTGTGGCCCATAGACATCTACATCAACCTCTATTACAAATCAAAATGTAGATGCGTTGTCACCCGTGAGGACTAAGATGGAATGCCTCATTTCCAGTAAAAAGGGCCTCCGGCCACCTGCACTCACCAAGCGAAACGCAGAGCTAAACTTCTACTTCATGCTGGTTTTCTGTGAGGTCGTGGTACCACCCCGGTTCGAGCCGGCCCATCCGTGCGACAGCAAAAGCTGCCGTGTGGCTCTACCACTGTTATATTAGTGAACTAGCCACCCGAATCCTAAATTTTTGTAGGCATTTCTGCAGATTTTGGTTACATACTCTCGAAATTCTAGTTTAGAAGAGAAATTAACTCTTAAATCTCTGACTTCTGACACTTTCACTATTGGTACCCCGTTAATTTGGTATTAGTACGTAACTGGAGATATTGCATGGCTGAAAATCATAGTTATGCACTTCGAGATGCTAAATTATATGTCCTATAGATGATTTCAATTAATTTGTGTTACCTAACTTATATTTACAAAAGTTTATTACACTTAAAGTTTTCGCTAGCCATGGAGCTCTCGTAATGTTCTGATGGGAACTGTCACAAATCACAATTCCCGAAAATGAATGTCAAATTTATTCGAATGGGAAATGTGAATAGCATTTATTGGTGCAAGAAGGTATTGAATCCAAATTGATTTCCCTTTCCGAGACAATTGTGAATAGACCTGCAGATCAATATTTTACTGACATTCCGATCATGACTACAAAGTCAATAAATTCTTCTACTCACTACAAAAATTGCTGGACGCTGGTGTTGAGCTGATCAAACTTATTTTTTGTGCATGGGAGAATTAGGTAGGTGCTTTGAGTATATTTTGTGATCTTTCCAAGGCTTTTGACTGTGTTCACTATAAGAAATTTATAAGGAAGCTATGTCATTATTGTGTAAATAACATAGCACTTAAACTTATTACATCATACTTAAATAATAGAATGCAAACAGTTGTTATTGTTATTCAGAGCACAATTCTTAGCTTCTTCCTGTTCTTAGTTGATACTAATGACTTACTTGGTAGGGAATAACAATGATATAGTTTTATTTGCTAATGTTACCTCTGTGATTTTCAGATTTAAACAGCAATTGTTAAAATATGACTAAGTAATAATGCTATAAGAACAACACCAGTACTTATCCACAACAATTTGCTTTTAAATAGTACCTAATAAAATAAAATGTATTAAATTCACAACACCTTTAAAATCAGTCCGCTTTTAAATTGGGAGGAGCTAAGCATTGTTGAATCCACTGTTTTTCCTCAGAATTACAGTTAACACGAAGCTTTAATGGACCCTATATATCTTAACTAGCTAGCAAACTTAGTTCTGCAGCACATAGTATAAAAAAAATTAGCCTTATATGTGTTGAAACAAGGGGTTAGTTTATTTTAGTTATAGCCATAGCATAATGTCATATGAAATCTTGCTATGGGATAATGCAACTGACATTGAAAATCTTTGTTTGGCTAAAGAGAGCCATAAAAGCAATTTATAACCTAAGTCTTAAAGAGACTTAGAGAAAAATTTAAAGAAATAAGTACATTAACTTTGGCTAAAGCTTAAATAACTTCCAATTAGTATTCTTGTGCTTTATATTGAACAAAAATTATCTATTTCGTACACATGGGTGATGCTTTCAAACAGTATCAATAGATGTGAATATTATAGTGTATCACAGCAGTTATATGTACATCTATTCTTCTAAGACATTAATCTGTTTTACCTTCTTATATTATGTTCTTATATTATTTGTTTGAAAATGATGTTATATATAAAATTGCAATACACTTTTAAATTATAATTTGCAGGGCTTGTTGTTAAACTAGCATTAATCTTAGAATTTTTTATTTAAAACGGTAGTGACTTGAGGTTTTTTTAAATAGTTCACCTTACAGTATACAGACTCCAATTAGTCACTCGACCAATTTGCATTTTTTATTAGGATGAGCAGCCTGTGTTGGTAAACAAATCTAAAACAACACAACCGTTATTTTACAGTTCATTCATTCATCATAATTACAGCCTTTCACAAGTCCACTGCTGAACATAGGCCTCCCTCAGGGAATGCCACAAAGTACGGTCCTGAGCCACCTGCATCCATCGACTTCCTGCATGTCTTACCAGGTCGTCACTCCATCTCGTGGGGGGTCGCACTACACTTCGCCTACCGGTACGAGGCTGCCACTCAAGAACCTTTCTTTTCCATCGGTTGTCGGTTCTTCGAGCTATATGGCCAGCCCACTGCCACTTCAGCATGCTAATCCATTGGCCTATGTCGGTTACTCTGGTTCTACTGTGGATATACTCATTTCTAAGTTTATCACGCAGAGAAACCCCGAGCATAGCCCACTCCATAGCTCGCTGAGCGACCTTGAGCTTCCTCATACGGCCGGCAGTGAAGGAAGGATTTTATAGTTAGTTACGTTATTTTAAGATTGATTGATGATGTTCTCATTTTATTTATATTGAAGTCGGTTGTACAACATTTTTAATTTTACCACTTGTATATCATTAGGTCCGGACTTTGGATAGACAGCTAACACAACTCTTTTCTGTTACAATAACGTAAATTTGTCTATTTTTTGTGAATACTGTGGAACATTTTAGATCTCAAATTCAAATTTCTTTTTTATGTGATTTTAAACTGAATTAATGTATTTTCAGATGGGGTATCCTTTTTTCTCATCCTTCAGACTTTACGCCAGTGTGCACAACTGAGCTCGCAAGAGTGATAACATTACTACCAGAATTTATAAAACGCAATGTTAAAGTTATTGGTTTATCATGTGACACTATTTCATCACATTCTGAATGGTGTAAAGACATCAAAAGTTATGCAGGTATTTTTTGTCAAGTATTTAAAATAGCAAACTATCAGTATTTCTTTTCTATTATTTTCTTATATAGTAGTATGTCAAAATTATTTGCGGGATAATTAATAGGTACATAATGATTTTGATATTATATTTTTATAAAAAATTAAATACTTTGTTAAAATTATTCAGTAGATACTATGACAACTAATGCAAACATCACAACATGGATTTAATCGAAGTGATCAGTCAATAATAAGCTCGAATCGAGATTAGTATTGGTGCTTCTCTTGAGGCATCTAATAACCGAATTCGAATAATTGTTTGTAAATTTAAATTCTACATTCGCCGCCATTATGCTATATACTTTATGCAACTATAATATTTGTTTAACATAAATAAATGTCAAAAACTGTAATTTTTTATGGGCTAAGGGTGACTAATGAGCACACAATCCACCTGATGGTGAGTTGTTGCTGCGTCCCATAGACAACTATATCTATCCTCAATTACGAATCAAAATGCAGATGCATTGTCAGCCGTGAGGACTAAGATGTAATGTCTCATTTCCAGTAAAAAGGGTCTCTGGTTCTCTACACTCACCATACGAAATACAGCAGCATTAAGCTGCTATTGTACGCTGGTATTCTGTGAGAGCATGGTCCTTCCCCGGTCGAGCCAATCCATTCGTGCTACAACTATACTACTAATATAGTTGTAGCATGGCTCTACCACGTAAAAAGTAGTCTGTCCCCCCTGTGAATTTGAATTTAAATTAATTGAAGTTATCTGTGTAGTGGCGATGTAAAAATATCAACTTCCTCGTATTGTCCCAAGGGTGTCGACTGAGGGAAAATGAAATAAGAAATGGGCATCAGCATCTTCCTGATAATAACTTAAAATAATAAAAAACTGCGGTTGCCAACCCGCTCGCCAAAGGTGGCAACTATGGCAAGATAACTCCATGAGGTAATCTATGAGGGAGGGCTATGTTAAGGAATGGACTTTTGTAGGCTGTAAGAGATGGAATGAATAATAGATGTCCATATTAAAATGGTTTCCCTTTTTTATGAGTTAGGTAATACAGAATATGAAGAATAATGTAGAATCATGCATATTATATTGAAGTTTAATACCAAATTAAGCATTATCGGCTGCTTTGACATTCAGTAGCAAAACTAAGTTTTGTAAAGTAAAGTTTACTCAGGACTGTGAAATATAATTTTGTCCTGAAGTTAAAATATAATTGAAATTGAAAAATCCCCCCTATGCGACAATTTCTGGGGGAGGCCTATGTTCAGCTATGGACTTTTGGTTGGCTGGTGATGGTTTTGATTGATGGTACAAAGTGTTGAGGATTTTCTGATAATACTGAATAATTGATTTTTTACCAGTGTTTATTAACAATAATTTTTTGAATAGCAAATTGTTTGAGAATTTGCGCCGTGCAGGTATGCGAGGGAAATGTATCGACGTTTTCCTCGCCTACATGTGACAGCGTGCTCGTGCTCGTTCAGCCGTATGCGAAAGTAGATAACTAAAATTGAATTTCTATTAATTCAAAATCAAACTTCAATTGATGTCCTTCCCAGATGTTTTCTATGGAATCTCAAAACTTATTTTGATTGGACCATTTTGGGTGTCGTTTGTGCAGCTTTTGCATTTTCTTGGTCGCAGATACAGCGATTTCAAGGAAAAACCATTTGGGGTGAAACAAATAGGAACAATTCTTTATTAGTTATAGCTGCAATGTTACATTAATTTGACTTCCAAATGCAGTGTATATCGAAATTCAAACTGAACAGTATTAGAAAACGACAAATTAATCGGTTAGGGCTTCTTAATATGTAGGATTTAAATAGACACAAGAGGCGCGTGCATGAGATGGTTAAGGTACCTACATATTAACTGAAAACATTTACCTATAAAATACATGTGCATATCACAATGGTGCGTTAACTCAAAGTACCAACCGGGCCAAACTTCAATGTTGTAACAGATACCTAGCTTTGATGAAGTTATATGGTCTGAATATGTCCAAGTGCCATTGAATGCTAGATATGATTCTTATGCTGACATTGTTGGCGTAGTTAACTTCTTACTAGTCGTAAATCGACCACATATACCATGAAAATCGCATAATATGTAAGCTATCAAGAATTAATTTAAATACAACAAAGAACAAATATCCAAATATATATACATATTACATTTGGTATTAATAATTACGTTCAAAAAGCAATGTGAAAGCGAAATTTCTCCCTAAATGTATATTACGATAAATCTAGTATATTTATTTACTAAATATATTTTACAGGATGCAATGATGATAAAAAGTTTCCATTTCCAATAATTGAAGACAAAGATAGGCTTTTAGCTGCCAAACTGGGCATGGTAGATAAAGATGAACTAGATGCTTCTGGGATGCCACTGACAGCTCGTGCTGTTTTTATTATAGATCCTAAGAAAAAATTTAGACTTTCCATACTTTACCCAGCAACTACTGGCAGGAATTTTGAGTAAGCATTATATTATTTTTTCTTTACTTTTGATATATTATCACATTCTTTTATTTGTCACAAGACAGTTATAAACCTTAAAGCAAAGTTCTACATAAACTGACTGGCATATAAACTGCATTAACATATTGGGTGTCCTTTAAATTTTTTTTTTACTTTCTCCAAAGACATTTAAGTAGTAGTAGTAATAGACCGGACATCAGTAGCAAAATTGTCGTCTGTAACTTATGTCCTATAGGATATATCTCCGATTTTTGTCATTTAGTCTTAGTGACATCGTCAAAAAGTCAAGACGCATTCGTTTCATATATTTAAAAAATATTTTTAAAGAAAATATGTGGCTGTGCATTAAGATATTGTAAGTCATGATATGGAGCAAAAAATTAACGTGATTTCGGTTTATTATCGTGAATATAACATATATTTAACGAATAATCCTTAAATTTTATTATTTCTAGCAGATTGTTCTAGTACATTTATTTTTATTGTAATAAGCGCCCTCTGTTATCCAGTAAACGTCACTATTTAGTTACCAATTTTAAAGTTAGTGATTGACGACGTTCATCGATTGGGATTATCGATAAAAAAATTAGCAATAAATCAAGTCTTCTCTTTTACATAGAATAGAATAGAATAGAATATTTTTTATTCAATATACATTACATGTGTAATTCTTATTGAAAGTCGTTTTTTACTTTACCACTGGTTCGAAAAAACATACCATTGTCTGGTGGTTTTCTAGGACAAAGCCATTATAGATCCTCGCTTACAGTGATAGGAGAGGGCAATAGATTTCTTACATTAACAACAATTTGTACTGTTAAAAATATTATATGCAAGATGTTGTAGATTAAGCCATAAGGTAAAAACTAAAAAAAACAATTTTTATTGATGTGGGTAGTGTCTTTAAGTACTGCAGCTGATGAAACATGATAAATCGTGAAACAGCTTTTAAGTTCAGTATTTTCCTAAAATATTTTTTCGATTTGAAGAGTATTTTTGAAATAGAAACGAATTTAAAAACATGGATTGGATTTTGTGTTTCTCGATGTGTCTTTAACGACGACCGATCAATCATATGCTATTATTATACCAGCTAATGGACCGAGTGACGTCATGCCACCAAGGTGGCAACCAAAGTGACTGCTGTTTGAATTGATTCTTAGTTATTGGAAATTAAATATTTTATTTCATGACACTAAAGGTTCGTCAAAAGTTAATATGAGTTTTTTCGTGTGATGGAAGTCATGATAAATAGATTTATACAATAAAACAATCATGTATATTCCCTATTATTATATCGAAAAGCATTTCAAACTTAGTGATCTTCAACAACATTATCGATACTTTGATATCGCAACGGTAACATTCCTAAAACGAGGTTATATTTACTAGCGTCACCTACTGGGGAATAGCTAAAATGTTGTCTTAATAAATGCTTAGCGTTGTTTTGCTATTTTTAGCTAGAGGGTGCCACAAGCGCACTAGCTCAATGTTTTTGTATATAAATTTTCCCAATGTCCGCTCTATAGTATACCTATATATTTAAATCTCTTTCACTTTTTCATATGGCATTATGCTATAGCAATAACAATTTATTTATCAAATTCAAAAATGTCACCATTTTTGAATTCTATAAATAAAATGTTATTGAAAATCTTGTAACCTGTCGATATAATATTATGTATTTTTGATGACAATTTTAACAATAAGAGCGGGTACACATTGGGCGCTTTGAAACGCGCGATTTGCTAACGCGCGTTTTGAGATCCAAAAGTCCCTATTGAAGTGTACACATGCAAGCGCGCGCTTCTGATCAAGCGCGCGTCGAACGCGCGCTCTAAGAATTTCGTTGGAACGCGCGTTGCGCGGGCGTCAGCTGCGCGCTTGTAGATACATGCACCGCCATTTTGCTGTACATTTGATCGCGCGCTTTCGTGTAGGGTGCACGTATATCATGGAGATCGAACACTTCGATACAGATTTATTTATCGACGAAATCCAAAAGCGTTCAGCTATATGGGACATACAAAGTCCAGATTATAAAAATAAAATATTAAAAAAACGTAATTGGGAGGAAATAGTTGAAATTTTTAGTGACTGTGAAGACAATTTGGAAAAGAAAAAACTGTTGGGTGAGTATAATTATTTATTGATGTTTTCTATAATTATATGTTGTTTTGCCACTGTAATTTTCACTTTTGCCACAAATTTTTCTCTTGCTGTTCTAGCACATAAGCTGCCTCGTGGTAAATTTTCTAAATGTATAGATTGTAGAAGTGAAACATGTGTAGTGTATCTTCATATCTGTAACCATCGCGCATTCGAACGTAATTATGTAGTACTGTGCAAGCTTTGCGAAATCTATGTTTACATCTATCGGTCTATGAAATATTCGCCATTTATTGCTCATTATTCCGAAAGTACATTCAATATAGCGCCTTGCTCTCGATAATCTGTAATTGAAAACTTTTTTTGTGTGTGTGAGTTGTGTTCCTCCATACGGCCGCATCACATTCGACATAATTCCAAATGCTTCATCGCCGACGAACACATGAGGCACATCGCGGCAGAACTCCCGATACCATCCACACCATCTGGATGATTGGCGGTCCACCACTGTGCGATTTAGAAGATGTTTTCTTCCTCGCACAACTTCCTTGTGGAATAGTTTACCACCAGGGATTTTTCCGGACCGATACGACTTAGGGACCTTCAAGAAAAGAGCCTACTCCTTTTTAAAAGGCCGGCAACGCATCTGCAATTCCCCTGGTGTTGCGGTTGTTCATGGGCGGCGGTAGTCACTTACCATCAGGTGAGCCGCATGCTCGTTTGCCCCCTCTCCTATAAAAAAAAAAAAAGGCAATGGAGTTCTATCGATATTTGATATAGGCTTGGGGTTAGGAATATTTAACTTATTATTCACAATCCGTTTAAAAAATTCGGAATTTTTAAAAATAGCAGAATCATTGGTTTTGCCATAGGATCCGACATCAACGTATACAAAACAATAATTTGCATCACAAACTGCTAGTAAGACTGATGAGAAGTATGTTTTATAATTGTAAAAAATCGAACCTGTATGTTCTGGTTGTATTAGCTCAATATGTTTCCCGTCAAACGCACCAATACAATTTGGGAAGTTAGCGTATTTCTTAAAACCTTCTACTTCTTTCCACTTTTCTGTTGTCATTTCAGGCATAGATGTAAACTTCAATTTGCTCCATAGTACTTTACAAACTTGTTCCACTATCTTTATAATTGTCGATTTTCCAAGACGGTATCCGTAATGCAAATCAGCGAAAGAGCAGCCTGTGGCCAAGTATCTGTCAAAATAAAAATGGTTATTGTTTATTTTCAGGTGGTACACTTATGAAAAAATGGAAAAGCATTCGGGACAATTATCTTAGGGAGTCTAAGAGGCAAAAAAAGCTTCCATCTGGATCTGGATCTTCCGAACATACGCCATATGTGTATTACAGGAAATTACAATTTCTTGCGAATTCTACAGCATATAACGACACAGAGAGCAATTAACACATCTTCTGGCACAACTGGTTCAGATGTAGATAATATTATAGACAATGCAGACTTGATGCCACCTCCTAAAGATCAAATGGAAGGCCCAAGGAAAAGACAGAAAATAAATGCTGTAGATAAACAAATAGTCGACATTTTACAGAAAAGTTTAAATGCAAGGGAACAAAATGAAATGGGGCGACTAACTAAAGAAGACGATGATAAACTATTCTGTTTATCATTGTACAGTGAATTAAAAAAAGTGCCCGAAAATCGACGCTTAACCACAAAGATTGAATTACTCAATGTCATTAAAGAAGCACAGAATTATCATCAATCATTACCACTAGAAACTAATCATCACCAATACACATATTCTACACCGACATATTCTGGATATACTACTGTTAGACCCTCAACAACACAACAGTGGTCTACCACGCCGCCACCACCGCCGTCATCATGGTCACCGTCATGTTCAGCCTCCAGCTAAGATTCAGACAACTTAGATTTATTTGAATAAACAAATATACTTACCTTAACGTTATCACGAGTTTTTCTTCTGCGGAAATCGAATCTCTCAAAATCGTTGAATCACCAGTAATATCTACTTTAATAACATGGAGTAAGTCATCAAATGATTTTATGGACATTCTAAAATAACTAAAAAACTTAGGTTCATATTGCCTTAATTTTGGATACAATGTTACAAACATTCCATGCGTCAGTCTATCTCGTAATATTGGGTGCACCCAATATTCTCTTTGCCTCTGCCGTCGTCTTTTATAGCGACGGTATAGAAGCCACACACAAGCGATCACTTCGAAGTCCATTTCCGAACTGAACTAGTAGTATGGGCACCTTGGTAACGCTCGTTAAACGCCGTGCTAAGCGCGCTGTATGTATGCTACAAGCGCGCGCCCAACGCAACGCCGAGCGCCCAATGTGTATCCGCTCTAATTAATAATCGTCAACTCACCTATCAGAATTGTATTAAACATTTTATTCATAGAACTTTGAAATAATATATAAATATATTTGCAATATCAATGTCGTTATATTTCTGGCGGACTTCAAAATAGGGACGGGGATAAGTTGGGAAGAATTCAACTGCTTTTTTTGTATGTACGTTACGTGTCTTCACCAATTGTGAACCGATTTTGATGATTCTTAATTTCCTCCTAAATAATTAATTGTATAAAAGCCGACCTCAAAGAACTATTAGGAATAAAATAATTTCACATTCTGAAGTTAGTGCTAAGACGTAGGTATTGAATAGAGAAATAAAGCCTAAATATATTTTTATTTAGGCTTTATATTGATAGTGATAGATGTAGATTTATTGCTCATAACTGCATTAGTGTAAAGTAGTCCTATTGTTGCCCGTAGGCTTTTCCCATGCACTGAATTTGCCTCTTATAATCGCTACACTTGACTTAATGATAAGTTATATCAGACTTAGACCTTGGTCTTCTCTCTCCCACCAACATCATTTATGTTATTTTTGAGAGCCATCTTGCAGGTCCCGCATATTTTTGTTGTGATAGTTCTTAGTAAAATATTAAAACGATCCCATAAAGATGTGGCATAATTAATTTACTAGGTACGTTCAGCTTCCCTGATTGCATAAGAATAGTTACTAATGGAGATACTATAAAAATGCCAAGGTAAAATAAGATAAACTATGAGAACTCAGGTGCAATATGAAAAATGTATTTATAAATTCTTAGATAAATGTAATTTAAGGTAACATTTTTGTGACCATTGTGTTCGCAATGACATACTTACGTTCTACAAAAATATTGTTACAAGGCCCTATAACGCTAAAAAAATTAGGATTGAAAAACTTCTTTAAAATATTAAATCATGCCGCTTTTTTGCGTTATAGAGCCGTGAAAGTGAAATAACTTTGTAGAAAAAGTAGTAGTATTCGTAGGTTGGTTTATATTGACATAAGAATTTTAGAAAAACAGTAAAGACAACATATTTTTTTAAATTTATTGTAGTTTGTCATTCTTTTAGCGTTTGCATATTTTAAACGTGCATAATTTGGAAGAGTTCCCGCGGTCAATAAGTTTTTTTAATAACACCTAACGCATAGTCTTCTTATAGGTTGCTTTTTTTCACGTCTGTACTTGTCTGTCTAAAATATTTTTACTTTTTGTCAATGGTAAAATAATGACCATAAACAAGAATATGATAAAACAGTATTTTTCTAAGACTGGCGTTTCACAAGACTTTTGGTAAACGCTAAGGATACACGCTGCTTTAATTCCATAACCGACAACGATGGGGAAGAAAGGTTCTCGAGTGGCAGTATCGTACCGGTAAACGAAGTGTAGGGCGGGAAATGGATACAATTCGCTCAGGACCGTGCTCTGTGGTATTCCGTAGGCTTATGTTCAGCAGTGGACTTTAGAAATAATAATGATGAGGATGATGGTGATGATTATATCAAAAAGCCAAATGATTGTAGATAAAACCTTTTCTTTTGAATTATATGAATACTGCTGACCAAAAAAATTGACAGCACTATTGTCAATTGTTAATTTTTTTTTGTTTCGTTGTTAATGATTTTCGAAGCCCTGGTTCCACTCAATTGCTTCTTCAATATAATCAATACAAGTTGTATTGAAACTGCGTAGGCCTCGCTGCATTAACTTAGGAGATCAGTCTTTTCAGTAGCCTGTAAGTTGACGTATCAGTTGAAGACTGTAGCCTCGTAACCCGTCTAGCACCCAATCCTAAAGATTTATCCATCGATAAATTCTAAATATTGTAATTGTTTTCGTTAAATTGCAATTTTTTAATATAAATATCTTTTAGTTTTCTATAATTTTGCCGAATACATCTTCAAGATCTTATCCGGCTAGCGTTTAGTCCATAAAAATCATTTATGTTTGCTCTAGCTCTAGTGACTTTATCAAGGTACTGTCTGGATTCTAGAACTATCTCGATCTCGAGACTAGAACAAAATTTATTTTTATAGGATAAGGTGATAGACGAGCATACAGTCCACCTGATGGTGAGTGATTGCTGTGATCCATAGACATCTACATCTATCCTCGATAAAGAATCAAAATGCAGATACGTTGTCATCCGTGAGCACTAAGATGGAATGCCTCATTTCCCGTAAAAAGGGTCTCCGGTTCTCTACACTCACCATACAAAACACAGCAGCGTTAAGCTGCTATTTTACGCTGGTGTTCTGTATGAGCGTGATCCTTCCCCGGTCGAGCCGACCCATTCGTGCTACAACTGTAATACTAATATAACAGCAGCATGGCTCTACCACGTTCACGTTCTACTAATATAGCTGCAAAAATTGTTTTGTTTTCTCCCAAATAAATTATTGTAAAAACGAACAACTTAAAATGACTAAAAATGTCTATTTATTTCGGCACATCGTTATTATACATCGTAACGAGCATAAAAACAAAACATATAGACATAGTCCTAGTTCTTATATTGTTATTAAAAAAAAATAATTTGGAGAAGGAAACAGGGGAATACGGAATGTTAATAAATTTTATAAATTTTTCATATAGGCTTAAAAGGCCCAAGAGCCGTGGTAGCTCAGGGGTTAAGTGCTCGCTGTAAATTTCACAGTACCCGAGCGTCCCATGTGTGATCCCCGCGGACACCAATGAAATTGTTAATTGCAATTTTAAGTGCTGAGTTACCACGTGCTCGGCAGTGAAGGAAAACATCGTGAGGGAACCTGCATGTCTGAGAAATAAGAAACAAAATATTTCGAAGACATGTGAAGTTCGCCAACACGCAATGGGGCAGCGCGGCGGACAATTCATTGCCCTAAAACCCTCTCAGAAATGAGCCCGTGCCCAGCAGTGAGACGTATATATAGGCTGTAACTTTTTAATCGGCCCGAGCTGCAGTGCCACAGTGCGACAGTAATTGATAGTAAAATCCTATTCTTCAAATTTATTGCAACCCATATATTATCCTCCGTAATAATATATTATGGGTATGCATATAAAAATGTAACAAAAAACTATAAGACATGTTTATATAATAGCATAAATTACATATACTTCCGTTGATGAACCGTCATCATCATCGTCATCATTACAGCCCTTTACAAGTCCACTGCTTAACGTAGACCTCCACTGAGAAATTCCACAAAGCACGGTCCTGAGCCACCTGCATCCATCCAACATGTCTTACCAGGTCGTCACTCTAACTAGTGGGGGGGTCTCCCTACACTTCGCCTACCGGTACGAGGCTGCACCTCGAGAACCTTTCTTCCCCATCGATTGTTGTTTCTTCGAGCTATATGGCCGGCCCATTGCCACTTCAGCTTACTAATCCGTTGGGCTATATCGGCCACTCTGCTGCTGTTTTGGTTCTACTGCTGCCTCATACCTCATACGGTCAGCAGTGAAGAACCATGTCTTAGATCCCATAAGTTATCACTGGCAACACGCACTGAGAACTTGATGAACCTTAACAGTAAATAAATAAATAAACAACATAAAACAATCTTCTTGAATAGACAAATAAGCTATTAACTATTCTATGCCGTAAAACAAACTGTCTGTAAGGTTAAATATCAGAGTTATAATATAGACATAATAAAATTATTAATTTCTATTTAATTTATATGTAACTGTTTTTTTATAAATGTTAAATTTATTTTTACTTTTTTCCTTGTTACAGTGAGATTCTGCGTGTGTTAGACTCTCTCCAACTGACTGATAAGGCTAAAGTTGCCACTCCAGTTGATTGGAAGGTTAGTATTGGATAATTTTTATATTATTTAAAAAGAAAAGTAGTTACGGTGCTAGCCTGCGGACTCTACTTCTTAAATGTTTGTAGATACTGAGGTTTCCTCAGGCAGGCTTCCAAGCACTACATTCATGCTTATAGTGTTGAAATGTGGATCTACGAGATCTAAGAGATCTGCGAGAGTGATTTAACGCAATATAGTGTATTTAATGTACAAAATGAATCCGGAAATTAATAGGCCCCAAATCCCCCAAATGCTCGTACTCACTAACATGTAATGCACCTTGATAAAGAAACAGGAATAATATCAAGGTAAATTACCATAAGCTGGTGATGCGATGCAGCATGTGTGCGTGGGAAAGTATTGGCTCGGATCTCACCAATTTTCTTGACAAGCATGGTGGATACCGGTAAATCTTTCAAGTAATGCATGTCAGTTTCAAAAAGACGAAATCCTACAACATTATCAATGTCCGGTTTTCAGACACAATAATAGGACAATAGAAATGACCTATATGTAGTGTACGGGACAGTGAAAGGGTTAAGGAAGATTGCCTTTCATCTATAAAAGAAACGGAGGAGATTAGGAAGTGAAAAGTATTATGTGTAAATTAATTTTGACGCATGGACTAACAGTCGACCTTATGGTAATAAGCTACTGTAGAGCAATTTCAAACAGAGAGTGCTACGCCTTGTCACCCCTTAGGAGTTAGGAATGGAATGAGTTTATAGCTTCATAGCCTGTAATTTATACTTGCTCTTTTTGCATAACGTCAAATTAGAACACAGAACAGGGGATATGCTTCTATTTAGTCGCAGACACACGTACCTAACTATTTATTGAAAGTCATCAGGATTTTACCACAGGTTGGGAACAAGTCCTCTGTCCTTTGAAGGACCAGCAAAACATCGAGCAGGAATTATTTAAATAAACGATTTCGACGTAATATACACCACTTCTACTTGATCACTTCGTTAGAAAATTTATTTTAAAAACAGCATGATAGCGATCATCATTTTTGCATCAGATCATCATTTTTGCTTTTTAAATAAATGTGGAATTATTTAAAAAGCAAAAATAAATAATAATCGCGGAACCCTGGTGACTTTTCCACATAACCTTAGGTTCCGGGGAACATATACTTTAAGAATCTCTGATTTAGACTTGTGTACCTACTTAAGCCGACTTTTGGTAACAAAGAGTGCCGGGCAACTTAAATGTACATTGTTGCTTAGCTATATAGAATATCTTGAATATTTAGTCACATTGCGAACCGCATCTAATTATAAATTCTATACTTAGTTAAAATGACCTAGATCTACCCAGCATTATGACGCCTATATTCGTTATAAACATTTTTGACCTTCGCGTGGGTTATTCGTATTGTTTTCTTGACGTGTTGATTCAAGGTTGCAATGGTTGTTGTGGTGCTTGAATTGTCTTAGTTGCACAGGGTTACACTACACTCGACGGGGTTTTATTGACATTGTTAATTATACAAAATATATAGCCCTTATATGGGCGACAACAACGTGATGAAAATATAAGACGAGAGACATGAAAAAATAACTAGAATATAAAAATTAAAAAAACCACGTCCCTAAAAGAGCTGATGATCTTCCAACGGCTGAACAGATTTTCGTCGGGGGTTCAAGACCAGACATAAAAATATGTTTTTCCCAAAAAAATTGAAAATTTGTGTCTGTCTGAACACGTTAAAGCTTGAGAACGGATTTGGTTGGGACTATACCTATGGTGTTACCAAAGAGGTCGAACCTTTAAAACAATTATTATCATCACGCGATCTATTTTAGACAAAATTCATTGTCTGGGTACATAAATATAATGTTGAAACATTGGCACACACGATAATATAATCACTTGGATTTATGAATGAAAAATTCAACCTAGGAATGAACCTTTGAATGAAAAAAGGGATATGTTTTTATTTTGTTTAGATGTGTTTTTAAAATCGCTGTCGAGTGTGTCGCTGTTGATATATATTATATATTACTCGCAGCGGGATTGCTCATGTACTAATGTAAACTTCATTATATGTAATAATACAGTGATGTGTTAAGTTAGGATGCACGCTGAAGATTTAAATTATAGTGCTTTGAGTTTTTTTTCAAATTAGCACCATCTATTAAGAGAGCAAAAAGAAGATGAAGGTGAGACTTGCTCGCCTTCAGTTCAAAAGTAAAGTAACAGGCTGTACTTATACGTCCCCTTCCTGGGCACAGGTACACATTTTTGACAAGGTTACCGACGCTGGGAAAAGTCCTCCGCGCTGCCCTAATGCGCGCTGAAAGAATAAGTTTCGTTTTTATTTATTTATTAATATTTTTAAAGATTTAAGTTTTTTCACAGCATTTGGCTAATCAACACTTAATTATTGGAGCCGGCGGGGATCAAATTCGGATGGCTTGGTTACTGTTAAATTATGTGGGTGAGACTGAATTAAATGTCAAGGGTTTAGTGGAAGACTAAAACAGTTGTAGAACGACTCTTAGAATTATAAAAAAAAACCTATGTGAAAATTACTTCACTTGAAGTATGATTACTTTGTTCTCGCCAGATCTACGAAAATAACTTCGCTTAATAATACATTTGCGTTAAAGTATTTATCAAAGTACAGTAACATTTAAAGTTAAAGTTGCCTATATACGTCCCACTACAGGTCTCATATTATGTCTGAAAGGGTTTTTAGGGCAAGAAAATGTCCGTCGCGCTGCCCCAATGTGTGTTACTACACGTCTTCGAAAGTTTTTTTTTAATTATTTGTCACGCATGCAGGTTTCCTCACGATGTTTCCTTCACCGCCTCGAGCACATGGTAAATCGGCACTTAACATAATTTAAAATTAAAAATTTTGTACAAACGACTTCAATATAAATTATTAAAAATAACCCAATAACTATTGGACAGACCTTGAACAAGTTTATTTGGGACCACACGAGAAGCACCAGCCTTCAAATAAAAAGAATCATCCAAATCGGTTCACTCAAAACAAGTTATGAGGTAACATAAAAAAAGAACAATCAGTCGAATTGAGTACTTCCTCCTTTTTGAAGTCGGTAGAAAATAACCTTAATTGACGATGTCGCACAAAAACTGCAAAAATCCCGGACATTTGGTTGATATCTAGTTTTTAGCTGAACACCTCACCTTTTAAAAAATATCATTTACCAATAAAAATAAAATATACAAAAATATTTTTGATTTCTATTATTATATTTATTTATGCGATAGGGTAGGGATATAAGAACATCCACTATCGCCATAATATCGTGCCGTGAGTGTTGTTAGAGGTGACAGAGGGAAACACCTATTGTAACTAATAACTCAAAATAAAAAAAATTAAAACTTGATACCCACCTGCCAAGCGTGGCTCCCTGATGCAATCTAAGAGAAATGTGGTGGACTTTTGAAAGGCTTTAAAGGTAACGGTAACATATAGAACTAACAATCATTGACTTCCTTCTTTATCGTGTTAAGTATGAATCATTACTGCAAATAAATGCCAGATCTAAATGTTACTCAAGTCGCTAGGGCTGTTACTTTAATTGAAACTGGGCACACGTACAAACATGTGGCCCACATACACACGAGTACGGTCAGAAATGATCGGTTCAGTTGCACAATACGTGATTGAGATTTTGGAAAAAATTGTAGTACCATTTGCCCCTTTTATAGGAGATATATATACGCCCCATGGCCACAGTATAGAGCTATAGGGTGGTACTTAAACCCCATAGAGCATGTATGGGATAAACTTGGAAAACAAATTAAGAAAAGAAATCCTGCCCCCGCGATTATTAAAAACCCATTACAGGAAGAGGAGGAAGTATCTCTCAAGATTTTATTGATATCTTGATTAGGAGTATGCGAAGGAGACTTGAAACAGTTCGAAAAGCTATTGGGGAAAAACTGTACTAATTATATAACTCACTCTTTGTCGCCCAAATAAGGCTTTTCTAAGCAATTATGAAAAAATACCTGTAAAATTTTTCTTCTTTTTATTTAGTTAAGTTTTGTCTTTTTTCGATGTTTGCGATTTTAAATTAACAAATAATAAGTTAAATCCAAATTAATAGTAATGTAATAGAGCTAGGCAGTCGAAGCCGAAGTTTTCCGCCGCCTAAGGATGGTGCATTGCATGGTCTTATATAGGGCTCTGATTTGAATAGAGGATGACCGTCGAAGTCGTACAGTAACGCTGCACCATTTAAAAGGCGGCGCATGCATTATTGGCGTCTCCTCCCTGAGACTTTGTGGAGTTCCTTGCATTCATGTATCAATTGGCTTTTGGAACTCCGACTGGCAAAGGTGTCATCTCCCTCCTATAGAGTTGGACATGTGGGGGTTCTTTGCCCGGCATTTAATGTTTGAAAAGTAGACAGTACGACCGGCCCATCCGAAGTTAGGAAATGGAACTATCGAGGCTATTCATATTTTCCTGCCAGACTATTGACCTTCCGATCAGGTGCTTTCGGGCGTGGGTGTCTTGGTAAGCACCTGTGCCATATTACCAAAAGAGAACCAATACCAAACGAGTGTCGACACTATGGTAGCGATCAGGATAAGGCGCAACATACTGTAGAAGATTGCCCCGCTTTTTGGCTGAGTTGCGTCGTGACCTAATGGCTGTAGTGTGGGATGAACTCTCGCTCCCACTCTTAAAGCTATAGGCGACAAGTCGAGAGTCAGAGTCCCAGTTTGGGGAACAGGTGATGTCAGGTGAAGCGGAATGAGGGAGAGGGAAATTAAGACAAATGTTCTAATCTGCAGCTGGTTAAGGACAACCTGAGTATTTCTTTATCTCACTTAACACTATAACTAAAAGATACAAACAGAGATCGAGTAAATACTGTTTAAAACTGACTGATTATTTATTAAGAATTACATGAACTTTGCAATAACCGGCCAAATTTGCAAAGAAGGTTCAGAATAAGTAATATAGTCAAAAGGTGGAGAGAATATAATTAAAAAAAATCTAAAACATTCTGTCCTTTTTATCTTTTAAATTCAAAATGCATGGTAATGCATTATTTTAATTGATTGTACTGCACACTCACACACATTCTTAAGGGTCAATCTATACGCAAAAACGTTCTTGCCCGTAAATGGCATTCAATTTGGTATAATTTCAAATAAAAATAGAAGCCTTATTTTCAAAACTGCAATAACGGTATATCATTATTTATGTATTTAAACATAAATTTAAAATTTGGCTACATTTTGAAAAGTAACCCTTTATAGAACAGCAACCTACCACACCTACACTCTTTGTTACCCCCGACAAGAACTTCGGTAGTTAAACAGGGGCGTTTTATGTTTGTACCTACTGTGTATCTGTGAATCTGTGTATGTATCTGTGTGATTGTCTGTGCCGTCATAGCTAATGTACGGATGAACCGATTTTGATTCTGTTTTTACAATCGAGAGTGTTCTTAGCTGTTTCAAGAAAATATGTTCAGTCGTTTGAAGATCACCAGCGTTTTTTGTTCGGTTAATACATTTTTAATTTACGTTATTACATGTGTTCTTGGCAAGATTCCAGCTAACAACTTCCTCTCAAAAATACCAGTAGACTACTCTGAGCCAATTTTCCAAAAACGCATTTTTCAGCAAACACGCATGAAAAATATTTAGTAGTATATCAGTCTGCATTGATGCTTCTTCGATTTCGGAAAGTAAACTTAATGTTTAAAATTTCCCTGCGCTTCTCGGTCGCTATTCTCTTTGGTAGGCTTTGGTTCATTTTGAAATAGCCATACCGTCTTGGCGCTGTTCTTCGTTGGCGTTTCGTTCCTGAATTGTAAACTGTAAATACGACGAGACGAGCTTGCTTTAAATTTAGAAATCATATTACAGTACCATTTCACAATTTTACACACGCTTGCTTCTGAGCATCGGTGAGGTTGTGGGGCATCGTGAACCGCTTCCCTATCCGACTTAAATTTTGCACGTTTCCTTTTATAACAGCTGTCAAAGGGCGACCACTTCTATTTTATCTTCCAAAGTAAAATGTACTGAAATTTGTAATTTCTGAAGTACTGCCCTAGAAGGTTATATTCATAAAATACCTTATGAAGTCTATCTAACATTTTTTCCGGTTCAAGGTGTCATTTTTCAACGATACACGATATTTTAGTTTAATTTTTAAATTGTAACGTCCGTATTTTCACTTGTGATTGTGGCTGATATGTAAAAAAAGTTATCCTTGTGTCTCATCTTTTTTTTCGCAAAACTTTCTGTATTATAAATTATATTATACAGGCCGTTATACTTTAAAAAGTATTAAATTAAAAACCCAAAATTATAACATTTTTCGAATCAAGTAAATTGCCAATTTACTCTCTGCTTACAATCAATAGCAGAAATAAATGTATGCGATCTTAACCACGAGCATTTTTGGTATTTATCTTGACTTAAAATTCTATATTTATTTCAGATGGGCGATGACTGCATGGTTTTGCCGACCGTACCCGAAGACAGTGTAGACACAATTTTTCCGCAGGGTGTCACAGTGGTTCCTCTACCATCGGGAAAGAAGTATCTCAGAAAAACTCCCTGTCCAAACGTGCTATAAATAAATCTTAAATCTTTTTTCTTTGTTTTAATTGCAGGAATCTTGTTTATTTTAAAATGCACGGGATGTGTGCAAACTTGTTTTGATTTTATGTATTTTTTTAATAAAGGTAAACGTATCACTTCGCTTTTTTTTTGTTGTTTTTATGAATCAACCTATTTTTAGTACCTGTGACACTCATATTATTGAATTTTATTTAGAATTATAAATTATTAATGAGATATATCTTTTTAAATAATTAAAATGTACGCGAAACTACATTAGAAGCGACACTTTCACTGTTTATTATAGATAGGTAAACAGTGTTATTACATTGAAATATTGTGATGTCTGCAGTGATTTTAAGAAAAATTACAAATATAGACATATTATAATAATATACTTTAATCTACGGTAAGTTAAAAATTTTCGTTACGCATAAAGTACACTTACCATACGGTTGCTAAATCAACGGAACACTTAAAACTGGTTTCAAGCCCACATCTTGCTTCTCTTAAACTACGTTTTGATTTCGTTGCTTTTTTATTTCTCCATAGTTGTGTTACAAATTAAAGAAAAATATTAATGCATAGTGGAACGCCAATGTTTATGTTTGTGGTAACCGCCAAATTTTTACATTTTATTTTAGCAAATTTATAAATATATTCGTAAATTTATATATAAGTAAAGCATTTTGTTTACGCTAAGAGCAGCAGCTCATACAAAAAACCCTTAATTGAAAACGAGTGGAATATATTTTATATTATTATATACGATACGTTAAAGTGTAACGACTGTCGTATTGTTTAGGTCCGCGATCATTGCGATGCGACAGGTGTGTCTGCGCCCATTGCGTTGTGATTATGAAAACATGGTTAGGGATCGGTCTGGGACCCCGACGTCGGAGAACAGGCAGCTGGCTGCCCAGTGAAAGCCCTCACTTTCATCGTAGTGGGGCGGGCGCCTGCCACCGCCACAACAAAAGTGAACGTCGCCGCGAGCACATACCACGCGAGTCGGTCAGTCGCTATCGTGACAGTACGTTCTCGAGCGTGTCTTGCGCGTCTCGTGCGCCCCGTGATCTCGCGATGCCCAAGTGGTGGATGGTGGTGCTACTGGCGGCGAGCGCGGCGGCGGCGGGTGGCCGCCTGCCCCGCACCTCGCCGTCCGCTCCGGCGCCCGCGCCTGCTTCTGCCTCAACTCCTCGCCTACCACAAAGGAACTTCACCCTATCCAGTCGGTCTCCGGTCCGGAATAGGTCAGTTCACAAACAGCATTTATTTCTCGTCCGCTTGTACCAAGCCGACAAGTCACTAATGTATAAATTTCGAACGGCCCTGAAGGCCAGATCGAACAGATGTTTGCATTCGAGCCCTTTTGAATCTCGTATGATCGATGTGTTAGAATTATTAAACTTGTGAGTTTTGTTATTAGACTGTGATGATAACTTTCGTAATATTTCAATACTATAATTAAGTTGTTCATTGCTTATTACGATATCGTGAGTAAATAAATGGATTGGTTCTTATAGTAAAAGTCACATTATTGTATTATAATATGTGATAATATTAACGAAATGTGTATTTGAACGTTTAAATTTGCTTACAATTTCAAAAAAGATTTAGTGTCTTAAGATACATGAAAACTTTATGTACCTATATTTGAATATTAAGATGGTTTTCACTCACCCATTAATTAAAAGCTACGTTTCCCAATGCTGGAAAAATGTTTTAGATCTATAATAATTTTCTCGTTTGCCTCTTACAGATGTACAATTACATATAAATTTAATTTCTTATATTTACGCGAACACTTCACATTGAATAAAACTATTTTTACGGAAGTTATGGTGGATCATTAACGTTCCGAGAAGTTTGCAGTTTATAATCATATCCCAGATGGCCCCCACCATTATAATTTGATTGTATCAAATCTCGGGACCACAAACCTCGCGAAAGAATGTCGATTCCTACCAAGGATGATACGTTAGGCTGTTGAAATTAAAAAAAAAAAGATCCTTATTTCTATAGAGAAGGAGGCTGGCAATTAATAAAATTAAAACTGAACCCAAGCATACCACTGTAAGACTTCAAGACTGTAAGTTCATTCCGCATAGATCGTGCCAAAAGTATTTAATCACAAAGCTGAAGGTACTCTGGGTTAACTTTGACATCGGGACGTAAATCACCTCAGTCATTCAGTGACCATGGGTGTTGCAAAGTACCCGAGACGTCGGGATTCGGGAAATAAAAATAAGTAGATAAATTAAACGCGATAAAATCCGGAAAACAAGTTTTCATTCAAAAAAAAATTTTTGTATTAGGCGAAATAGGTCACTAGACAATAAAACACAAAAAAAAAATCATTGGTTATTTCACTAAACCCATGTTACGTTGCTGTTGCTCCGTTGTTCTCATTACATACGTATTGGTGGTAAAATACATAAAATATAAGAGTTCGTCCTTAGGATAATTAACTTATAGCTAGCTATCAGGTGATAACAAATGATATAGCAAACATTTATTATCACCTATCTTTTTATACTTGGGACTAAATAATATAAATACGCTGTATAAATTAAAGTTTATTTGGCTACTTGGATATATTGGCTTAGCTATTACATATATATGTTAAAAAGACCAGACTTTCTGCGATTTTAATGTCCCATTACTTAGCCATTTTTGTCTAAATCTAAATTACCGAAAGCAATATTTTGTTTAGGAGCCAACAACCTAAATTACGTAGTAAGTTCCGCGCAATTTCGTTTGTTGTTATCAAAAAATAGAGCTACATAATAAAAGCTTGCGATTGTAACACTTCCTTTCAATTGCTTTCAATATTAATTAAATTGCTGTAAATGTAATTTTGTGGAAATTACTTTTGAGCAGTCACCGGCTTTTCGCCCTCAAGCAAATCGTTTTTTAACTTGTCAAGTACAACCACTGCGTGGCGTAGTCTACCTCGCACTGTAGTGTATACAAAGTCGTCTCGTGTACTCGATGTCAATCTTGTAGGATTAATTTCAAAGTAAATATGGGAACTTAGCTACTTTCACTCTTCGAACCGCTTGCGTGTCACCATGCACTGACCTCCCGTGTTTATGGTTTACGTTTTATCACATGTTGACATTTCCGTATCGGTGATTATACTCCGCTTTAATTTAGACCGCTTACCAAATGCGAAATCTTAAATTATTTAAATTAAACCGTTTTGTAAATATCGACAAAAATATACTGATATCGAAAATGAGAAATATCTTATCGCGAATTGGCTAATGTTATAGCCATGTGCAAGAATAAGGTCGTAGGTTAACTGTTATTGTTGTGTGTTTTTACGACAAGCTCAAGGATATGGAAAGTGTATGTTATTAAAAAATATAAAATATTGGCACGGTAAGGCGGGCCAAACCTTTTTTTTAAACTGTTGAACCAATAAAACAATTTGCTTTTTTAAACAGTACTTTGAAGTTAAAAACGTATACATATATAACAAAATCAATATGATACTTTATGAGAAATATTTTTGCCTCCAATATTATCTATATTTTTTTGAGTATAATAGGAAGCGCGTTGAGATAGGTTAACAACATTTTTTTGAATTAAGACATAAACCAAAACTCATATTTATTACAATGAATAACCTGCTGCAGTTGGACTCATTGAATATACTATTACTACATTAAAATTTAGGTTTAGGTCTATTTTCGTTTTACAGAAAATTGGGTCTGTAGAAGGTAATCTATAAATATTTCTTCTTCATTAATTTGTAACCGTCTCTTGGACATGGATATCGTAGAAAACGCCTGGCTTGACTGACGGATTGACGCCATATTATGTCTCACGCATTAAGCCGTGTCTTCACCAAAGTTTTGTTGCCAACACAACTGTTGGAAACAAAACTTGAAACAATGTCGGGAGCCGTGTTTCCATTTTCGGCGGCAACATCAATGGAATACGCTTGTTGCAAACATTTGTTCCCTCGGTGGAGACGCTTGTTGGAAACAGTTGGAAACATAACTGTTGTCAACATTTTTGGTGGATACGCGGCTTAAAATGCTGCACCCCGTCCCATCCCCTTCGTTGGTTTGGGTATATATAGCTGACATTTACGAGATGGTATATTACCATGGTGGATGGATAGTCGGAGGTTATGAGTTCTTATCGTCGATTTCCATAAGAACCCCTTACACGACCCACGGTACGAAACGGGGTAATAGATTCGCTTACGCGGCCACTACACTACGACATTCTATTTATTTATTTTTTGTTTTATTTATTTTAGACAGAGCCCATAAGTGTAAGTAAAATTTTTTATAGCTAGGGTTAGTAAAAAGTTAGATTTAAACACCACAAAAACAATAAAGAAACGTGTGATAGATCCACACAAAAACATTTACATTAGACATTTGTTGTTGTTTAGACTCGCATCCACGCTTGTAGAATTAGTCGGTCCCAGCGATTAACGAATACCCCAAGGATACTGATGGTGTTGTTCCGCAAACGCCCCCTAACTATCGCGGCGAAGCCGTCAATACGACTATCAGCGAACATCTCTAAGGCGTAGCATGTCTAGGCTAGGCTCTCTGGGTATAGCATAACCCACAGGCTGCAACAGTAGAACGACTGATAAAAAACTTTAAAAAGCGTTACTTTAACCTGTCTACTACCAACGAGTATTTATACGTGGTAAGGACCACGCTCTCACAGAAAACCAGCGTAAAATAGCAAATTAACACTGCTGTGTTTCGTATAGTGAGTGTATAGAACCGGAGGCCCTTTTTACTGGAAATGAGGCATTCCATCTTAGTCCACACGGGCGATAACGCATCTGCATTTTGATTCTTTATTGAGGATAGATGTAGATGGCTATGGGTCACAGCAACCACTTACCATCAGGTGGACTGTGTGCTCGTTTGTCACCCTATCCTATAAAAAAAGGAGCAAATCTGCCAGTCTGCATATTACAACGAAGCTACATATAAGCCAACTTTGTCACTATTGAGCTGACCTATCAGCTGATTT